TGGATGGCAGTGACAGTCACAGAAAACTCAAATGCTAACAGTGACAGTTCAGTTGGAAGTGAAGGAAAAAAACTGGAGTACTTCCCCTGAACCATAATGCATATTCATAAGCAAAGCCTATTTCTTGAGTCCAACTCCAGCTACCTAATCTTTCTGGGGGTTCTCTTTTACTTGCCCCAAGTAGACATTACAGCTATTACCATGACCATGTTCAAAAGGAAGTAGCCACCTCTCTTGAGAGCCCAGGGGAGAGCCATCATTGGCTGACCGCTCTAGCCTGACAGAGCTGGTTCATCTCCAACCCCTAGGGCATTTACAGAACCCTGACCTGGAGACACTGTGACCCTGAGTGCACCCACATTCAGAGGACACAGAGAGGAAAGGATCAATAAACATAAATCTCACCAGAGCTATGTGGTTATAAAGTATGTTGTAACCATACTCCAAATCAAGGTTATCCCAGAACTACAGACATTTGTGATTAACATCATCACCTTTACTTCTTAATTGCAGACATAAAATACACAGTTCTTCTCTATCTTTCCTCTAGCTTGGTAAGAATGAGAAAAAAAAAAAAAAAGAATGAGAAAGACAACTTAAATCCATATGAGGTTAAAACTGCCACTTTCATGTTTTTGAGTTTCACTTTATCAGATGTTCAGGCTGAGAGAGTGTAGGTCAAGTTTTTTCCTGAGCGTTAATGTGTGAAGTACACATAAGATCTGTAGCATGTGGATCAGGCCACAGGTGATGAATAATGTGGTCTAAGGGCCACAGCTAAGAGATCGTTCAGGACAAATGGAGCTAACTGGGAGAACTGCAATCAAGGGAGGATTTTGAGAGTTCTGGTCTCCATCTCAGAAAATGGCATCTCTATTTTTTTCAGTGAGTTCAAGCCAAACCCCTTGCAGTCCTTGGTTCCTTTCTTTTCACACCCTTTCTTGTTCCTTTCTTTTGTCACACCCAACATCCAATGCACTCATACACCTTGCTAGTTTCACACACACACAAAATTTCTTCCAGGGTCGCCCAGGTGGCTCAGTCAGTTAAGCATCTGATTTTGGCTCAGGTCATGATCTCATGGATCATGAGTTCGAGCCCTGCACTGGGCTCTCTGCTGTCAGCACAGAGCCCGCTTCAGATTCTCTGTCCCCCTCTCTCTCTGCTGCTCCCCACTCATGCTCTGTCAAAAATAAATATATATCTAAAAAAAAATTCTTCCAGAGTATATCTAGTATCTCCACTTCATATCACTCCAGTGCCACCAACCTAATCTAAGTCACCATCAGTCCCACTAGAACCACCTAACTGGTCTCCCTGCTCCCACCCTTGCTGCCATCTCCTCCCACCCCCAGACTATCATCCACCCAGTAGCCAACATAATCTCAGCAAAGCATAAGTCATATGATTTGTATCATTTGAGGGAGCAGTAACTACTATAACAAAGAAACCCCCATATTTGAGTAATGTGGATTCTACTTCTCATTTGCCTAATAGTCCCATATAGGTTTTTTTTTGTTTTGTTTTGTTTTGTTTTTTTTTTTGTCAGGGCCACGCTAGGATAGGGCAAAGCCTACTTATCTTCAATATGAAGTTAACATCCATCTGGCTGGTCAAAGAGGAAGAAAAAGTGAAGCAGGTACATCTATTTCTCTGATACTTGTGCCCAAGAGTGACACATCAATCACTCCTGCTCACTTTCCAATTGCAAGAATTCATCGATGGTCTCTCTTGATGAAAGGAAGATGCCCTGGCTGGGAGCTGCTTCCTTGAAACAACTCCACCATCCTACAACTCTTTAGTGGGCAGCTGCCATCTGTTAAAATATAAGGCGGAGCTTATTCATCTGTTTACAACTGTCCTAGAGATTCCTGTCTAACTAAACGAATATCCAAAGCTTCCAGATCCTCAGGAGCTGACCCCTTCTACCTCTCTGGTCTCATTGTCCTCCAGCTTTACTAGCCTTTATTCTGATCCTTGCTTATTGCCCTTCTCAGCGTTTGCTGTTCTCTCTGCCTAGAAGATTCCTTCATTAGATCTTTATATAACTGATTCCTTTTCATCATTTACATAGTTAAGGGGTGGGACCCGGGAATCTGCACTTTAAATGACACTCCATGAGACCCTGATGCAGGTGGTCAATGACCCATACCCTGAGAACATTGGGACAGTGGTTGAGAGTATGAACAGAGACACCTAATTCAAACACCACTAAGACCCTTATTAAGTCTATAACTTTGGGCAACCTACTTAGGTCAAATTAAGTACATAGCATGGAGTCTGGCACATAGTAAGTAGCAGAAGGAGGAGTCACTATATATGTATCATGTAGTTTTAGAAAAAGTAGGGATAGAATTAGACAAAAGGAGATTTGAGCAAGTGAATCTTCTTTTTCTCTTTTTTTAGAGAGAGAGAGAGAGGGAATATGTGCAAGGGAGGGGCCAAGGGTGAGGGAGAAAGAGAGTCTTAAGCAGGCCCCATGGTGTGGAGCCAGATATCACAACCACAAGATCATGACCTAAGCCAAAATCTAGAGTTGTATGCTTAACCAACTGAACCACCCAGGTGTCCCATAAGCAACTGAATCTTAAATAAGGAAGTGATGTGACTCCTGGAAAACAGTTTGGATATGCTTTAAGGGATTATTGAAGGCCACTACAGAGTCTTAGGGAGTGGAGTGAGGTTAGATGAGTGGTTTGAGATGTCCACTGTTACTCTGATAAGTGGTTATAGAAGATTAGATCTGGAGGGGAGAGCCTACCCAAGAGCTTATACCAGTACTCAGGATAAAAGAAGATCCCATTGTATGGACTTAACAAATAAATGGATTGGAAAGAGGCAAAAAAAGAAAGAAGCAGCCAAAGAGGTTGGCATGAAAACTGAGGAGAAATGATTGAAGAGAAATATGTGTGATCTCAGTACGGGCAGAGCCTAATTGAATAGGAGGGCAGTGATTCCTAGCCTAGATTACACCCAGGAGAAAAAAGACTAAGGAACTCTAATAGATACAGAAAATGGTAAAATAGAATCCTCAAAGCAAATGATCCCACAGAAGCCAGAGTTCAGTGGCCAAGCTTTTAAAGAAGTCATGTTAGTCACGACTGAAGGGAGAACTGGTGCACTGGTGAGGCAACAAGTCAGAAATTGAAATGACAATATTGGAAATTGTCCTTTGACTTTTCCATAAAGTTGCTGTTAATATCCGAGTTGAGGGGCAGCTTCTAGGGATGAGAGGGATACAGAAGGAAGGGGAACAAAGTTGATTAAAGAGAGTCAAAGCCATAGATGTAGTTGAGAGTTGGACACATAATTTTTTATTCTCAATTTTTTTAAAGTAAACTCTATAACCAACATGGGGCTTGAACTCACAACCCTGAGATTAAGAGTAACATGTTCCACTGACTGAGCCAGCCAAGACTCCGAGGTGGATACACCTTGTATAAAGCATGTGTTCAAGGAACACTTATGTGGAGGAGAGAAATGGAACAGCAGCCAAAAGGTGGCGAAGAATAGTAAACTTTGATTCCTTGATGCCTGTTTGCTAGTAGATAGGAGCCATTCTTTTATTCACAGATAAAACCTACATACGTGCTCACTCTCTCTCTCATGCATAAACTTTCCATTGTAAACATACAAAATCCCTGTGACTCTCCATACCAAAGCCATCCACTCTCCTGCATTATAAACAGACTGCTGACCTAGTTTTGAATATAATGAAAATTCCACATAGTTAGGGTGGATCCAGGTTTTGTGAGGGCTAAAGCTTATATTACTTGGTTGATTCTTCTTAAGAAAAAAAACATAAAATACAAAATACAAATACAAAGTTGGGTACAAAAAAATGAATATTTATTAAGGATAAGAAAAGGATTCATGACAAATTACCTTGGAACTTTGGAGCTTTGGAAGGCCAGATCTCTTCCTTGTGACACTTCTCTGGGCAATTTACTAGAAATGTTTACATAGAAGTGCAATCTGGCTTCCTTCCCTCACTTAGAACATTCTACCAACCCCAGAAACTCCCAACATTCACAGAGGTCCAAGCAAGGGACCCCAAAGCTTAAGCTTCAATTACTTCAGAGTGAAACTGCCTTTCTGTCTATATGTTTCTCCTTTGCTCTAAAGTGGGGAAACTCTAGCATCTGACTAAAAGGAAGGACTTCTACATGTCTTTTTTTAAATAAAATTACCATGTGTCCTTTCCTTGAAGGTGGAGGGGACTAAACACTGACCATCAGGAAAAACTTTGCAGAAAACTGTAATTCTGACAGGCACGACCTCAGGGTGGCTAGCAGAGGGTGGAGGCCTTAATTAAGTTCTTCCAAGATACGTTGCCGCATTCCTAACAGTACAGAAACTGCTTAAGCGCCAGCTGTACCTTAGGGAGGAATTTGCTTTCTGTGGTTTCTTCCATTAGCCTCTCCAGACTCCTTCTTTTCTCAGTTCTGTCCTGCTCTGTGCCCCAGGAGGCTGACCCATACAGATGTCAGCTGGCTCCCTTCATGCCCAGCTCATGGTCAGGTTTGGCAGTGAGAGGCACCAGCAGAAGAAAAGTGAGGCTGGGTTATTTCTTTCCCTGGCCCTCTTGCTGTGTGTTGGCTGCAAACTCACCTTTCAGGCAGTCCTCTCCGTACAACCACCCTCTCCAGGGTGTGGAAATAGCTCCATATTCTCCATCTTCAGGCCTGCAGTAGTAATGCCTCTCCCTATCACAAGTCCTGGGGATGGTGCCATCCCTTGTTGGTTTCTGTAAATAGTGTCCACACCTTTGTGAACAGTTTCTTTATTGAATTCTCCTCAAATTACTCTGTTTGAATGCTCATCTGTTTTCTGCTTGGACTCTGACTGATACCATGTTATAATTAACAAGGAGGGGAAAGGCCTTCAAAAACTTTTGCTTGGGGGCCCAGAATTAATAATAAAGAGAAGTAAAAAAAAGCAGTAGCTGACACTCAATGTACCAGCAACAGATGTGCCAAAAGGATGGTCATAGCAAGTACCTCTGGCTTCCTCTCCTCCTGGCAGGTGGGGGTGTTGGGAAAGCAGCAACTCTTGTAAAAGAGCAAAGTGCAGCATCAGGGCTACGAGGCCTTGGGTTCACTGTCTGCAAATCACATGATCCTCCAGACAAAAAGGACCTTATAAGGTAAAAGAAACAATTTGATTAGTTAGTCAGGTTATTGCATATTTTCTGCTTGAATACTCGCAAAGATGGAAAGTGTTACTGTACAAATAGCCCATTCTGTTATAGGGGCATGTCTAATTGTTAGAGCATTATATTAAGCAAAATCTGCCTTCCTCTAACTTTCCTTAGGTCTATTTCTTTCTTTTGAACGATATAAAGTCAAATGTGATCTTTCTTCCTTATGGCAGACCTACAGATATCTGAGGAGAGCTGCCATTTCTCACCACCCTGGTGTCTTGAATGACCTCTGGTTCATCAATGTGCCAGTAAAAGTACGGTGCACCCAAATGGTCATAATACTCTACGTAGAATCTTGCTTGAAATAGCCATATAACACTCAACTAGGCTTTTTCCATCATTCTTTCCCCACCCCTTAAAAAATATTTCTCTTACTTCTGGGACATATTTAAAATTAATCCTCTCTTTTAGCACCCATAGCTGCTACTTCCTTTAACTGTACTAAAATTATCTTCTCCTCTCACATCATTTCCTATTTCAAATGCCTCTTTTATAGCTACCCATGGTTTTTTCCATCATATTCAAGTTTCTTGATTTTACTGTTACTGCCTGACCCCAATCATTATTTTTACTGCTTGCTGATTTTCCTTTTCTCCTTTTTCCTCCACATCTTTGTTCCCTGTCACCTCTACTGAATATACTACTGATTTCACACTGAACTTTGTTTGAAATGTTCAGCCCATTTTCATCATCCTTTTCTATTTTAGAAGTCCCTTTTATGTAACTACCTCATAAAACTTAGAGAAAAATACACACATAGACACTAAATCCAAATGATCTTTTCTCCTTGAGAGTTCATGAGCATCCTCATGATCCTTGATCCTCATCAAGATCCTCTTGATCTTATTCTCTGAATTAAATGCCAGTGTCAAGAATAAACTGTTAGAATCAAAATCATATCTTACAATGTTTCATAATAATGTTAGGCCCTTTACAATTATGTAAAACCTATAGAACTTGAAGTAACAGGGGAATAACACTCAAAATAATATTGATAATCATTTCATTGAAAGATGAATGATATCAATAATTCAAGTTATGTATAAATTTCTCATTAAAATACTTGTCACACAGGACTCACCTATACTTAGTTTTACTTCTCATTGTGAGGGAGGCCTACAGTTAAGGTCCCTGATGAAAATCTACTCATTGCCCTTATTATTTTTTTTAATGTTTATTTCTTTACTTTGAGAGAGAGAGAGAGAGAGAGAGAGAAGGTCAGAGGGAGACAGAGAGCACGGCATGCACATGCATGTGTGCATGCACAAGTGAGCAGGGGAGGGGCAAGGGCGGGGAGTGAATCCAAAGCGGCTTCATGCTGTCAGGACAGAGCTAGGAGCTGGATCTCACACACTGAAATTGTTACCTGAGCCGAAATCAAGAGTTGGACGTTTAACCCACCAAGCCACCCAGGTGTCTCTCCCGGCCCTTATTTTAAAGGAAGGGATTGAGTTAAAAAACCCAATACTGGGCATATTCTGTCTATACATGCCTACTTCTGGACCCAAGCCAAGTTAAAAAAGAATCTGAAAACAGACACAAAAGACTGATATACAATATTGCCATGTTTGTCTACCAGAATTCCTTTGGTTTATATGTATACAAGATTTTTACTGATGGAGCTCAAAGTCCTCCAGAGATATTACCTCTAGAATCCTCATAACATTCTCTTTAAGCAAGTAGAAACCAGAGATGATTGCATTCTTTTTTTCTTTTTTGTATCCATTGTTGTTTTGTTTTGTTTTGTTTTGTTTTGTTTTGTTTTGTTTTGAAGAACAGTCTTTAAGTAGAGGCAGCAGGGCCTTATCCCTGGGGTCATTCCTCTTGACAGGTTGATGGCTAGCCTTAGGTCAAGGTCACACAGTAAGGTACTGGTGTTCCAAGAAAAGAATTCCAGTTTAATGATCCACCCAGGAGATCTGGCTGACTTCCATATGTACAAAGTCAGTCCTAAGACACTGCAGAGTAAGATATTCACTAGGGCTCTGTCTACAAAACTCACTAAGTTTTCTATTTAAATGTTTCTGGAAGAAGAATCAAACTTACAAGTCATATATAAGTACTAATCACATAGTCATGACTGCCACAGGCCCCATCCTTCCATGATGTCAAGCTCTCATGGATTACTTATCTTCTCTGTTCTAGACTTCTGTATATGTACCCCCATCTTACCATCCCATTAACCTTGGATTTAGCTTTTCCCTGAACTATCAATGTTTGCCCAGAATGAGTCTGAATTTGCTACTCTCTTATCAGGACTTGCTCATGGAAAGCTAACCTTCTCCATGAATACTGTAGCCACCATTCCCATTTGGCTCAAGTTCATGTTAATTTCTTACTAACCCCTCTCTCTCTCCTGACTTACTTCCTCTTCCTCCTTGCTCCCCAAATGCCCTGCCACAAATGTCATAAAAGGGTATTATACTCCTTGTGGGTAGGCCAGACAGAGCCACCCCCACAGTATGTATATTGGGCTATTCATGCACTGCAAGTGGTTCTTCCCTAACCAGAAGTATATAAAAGAACCATGGCTGGGCCAGAACTTCTGTCTTGGAATGAGGTTCACAATTCAGCATTCTCATTGTTGACATGTTGCCCTAAATTACTCAGCTGCCTGGATTTGGGACCCTTTATCGCCCCTGAATGCAAGTATTTCCTACTTAAGAACTGCTTCTTCACTGGGAAAAAAAGATTTGCAAAATATGTATCTGATAAAGGACTTCTATCCAGGATATTTAAAGAACTCACAGGTTAATAAAGGCAAACAACCCAATTAAGAAATGGCAAAAAAAAAAAAATAAGCAGATTTCACAAAAGAAGATATTCGAGTAAGTTCATAAAAAAGATGCTCAACTTCATTAATCATTAGGGAAATGTAAATTAAAACCATAATTAGGCACCACTACACATGCATCAGAATGCCTAAGTTGAAAAGACAAATAATACTAAGTCCTGTCAATAATTAGAGTCTTTGGAACTCTCATACATTGCTGTGGAAATGCAAAATGCTACTTTGGAAAGCAGTTTGACAATTTCATACAAGATTAAACATGCACTTAACACATGACCTAGAAATCTTACTCTTAGGTATCTACTCAAGATAAAAGAAAAAATATGCTCCATACAAAGATCTGTACTTTAATGTTCATAGTAGCTTTGTTTACAATAGCCCCAGACTAGAAACAATCCAAATATTCATTAACTGGTGAATGAATAGATAAGTTGTGGCATATACATACAATGATATACTACATAGTCATAAAGAGAAGTGAATTGTTGATACAAGCAACAAAATCAATTAATCTCAAAAGTGTAATTATGCCCATTGAAAAGAGACAGACAGAAAAGATCACATACAGTTTATAGAAAATTCTAGAAAAGGCAAAACTATAGCGGTGGAAAGTTGATCAGCGGTTTCTAGGGGCAGATGAGGAGAATGGATTGGCTGTAAAGGGAAATGAAGGCATTTTTTTAGGTTACATAAGTGTTCTATATTGTGATTGTGGTAGTTTTTAATAGGGTTTTTGTTTTTTGGGTCTTTTTAGAAAACTAAATTGCATGCTCAAAATTGGCAAATTTTGTTAAAGGTAAATTATATTTCAATAAAGATGATTTTTTGTTGTTTATTTTCGAGAGAGACAGTGGGAGCAAGGGAGGGGGGGACAGAGGAATTCAAGCAGGCTCCATGCTGAGAGCTCAGACCAGATGCAGGGAGAGGCTCAAATTCACTAACCGAACTGCGAGATCATGAGCTGAGCCAAAGTCAGACACTTAACCAATTGAGCCAGCCAGGTAGGTACCCCTAAAATTTAGGGGTTTTTTATTATTCAGGTATAGTGAGGTCAATAGATCAAGAAAATGGCTGACACTAAAAAGATTGTTCCTCACAGTTCCCAAGAGGGAGGGACATCCAGGGCACAGAGGGCACATGGAGAAGTGTCAGGGTTGGTTAGGAGGCAGAGAGCCAGGGGGAAATGTGGGCAAGGGCTTTTATTGTGGCTCCCAGGGCAGGCAAGGCAAGGCAGGACAAACAGGTTTAGGATTGGCTAGTTTGAGTAATTTCAGCAGGCTCTGAGGTGTAGAGAGCTCTCTCTCTCTCTCTCTCTCTCTCTCTCTCTCTCTCTCTCTCTCTCGCTCTCTCTCTCTCTCTCTCTCTCATTGCCTGATACCTGGCCCTGGGGTGATTACAACAGAGAAATAGTGGCCCTGAGAGTGAAAGCCCCATAGAGGAGGTAGTCGGGGAGTGGGCTCTGGATTAATTGATTAGTTAGCAAATGAAAGGCAAGTCACTTTACTATCTCTAGGAATTGGCTAGTGCTGGGAGGGGCAGGCTCTCCAGATCAGCAAGGCAAGACCCCAGATATCAAAACATCAGGGATACAAAAAATAAAAAGGCATGAATAGAAAGATATGTGATAAAATAAATATACCAAAATGTTAATCATAGTATTGAGGTGTTAGGTATATGGTTGTTCCCTGTTTAATTCTTTCAACTTTTCAGTATGCCTGAACAATAAAAGTTGAGGAAAAAATGCTTCTTTAGATATCTGAGCTCTTACCTAGTCATGGCTTCTAAAAGCCAGTTTCTCCACCTTTGTCTTACCTGCCCAGATTCCTGACTTCCTGCTTGTTTTGAACATTACTGTTGCCTGACTCTTTTAGTTATAAAATTTAGCTGATTCTCCTGATCAGCCAACTTTTTTGATTCTAGGAGTTACACCTGAACTAGCCATGACTTCTTAGTGCACAAAGTCACTAAATAGGCAGGGCCATCCCAGGGCATAATGTGAATTAGGTAAGTTCTATTTTCAAGTGCCTTATATACTTTCTCCCTCAGACTCCAGCCCAACACACACACACACACACACACACACACACACACACATATTTTCTCTCTCTCTCTCTCTCTCACACACACACACCTCTGTTATAGAT